CTAAAAGTCAAAGTTATACAAGTCCATATTGCTAAAAAATACGGTTTATAGAATCTCATATCGGAAAGCTTGGATTGCAAAGATTAAAGTTGTAGAAGCACTTTATGGGAATTGGGAGACGTCTTACAATGACCTACCACAATGGTTGTTGGTGCTGAAGACATATCTTCCTGGAACTGCTATACAGTTGGAAACATTGCCGATTATTACAGAGGACGGAACCCAATTGGGTGACAAGCGAAAATTTCACCGACTTTTTTGGGCATTTGAACCGTGTATTCGTAGTTTTAGTCACTGTAAACCAATCGTGCAAATTGAGGGAACCTGGTTGTACGACAATTACAAAGGGACTTTGTTAATGGCTGTGGCACAAGATGGAAATGGTAACATTTTCCCGATAGCATTCGCATTGGTTGAAGGAAAGACAAAGGATGTATGGAGTTTCTTTCTCAGGAATTTGAGAATGCACATGACCCCCAGGCCCATCTTTGTCTAATATCCGACCGGCATCCATCAATCAAGAGTGCTTACGATGATCCTGAAAATGGGTGGCAGTTTCCTCCATCTTCACATGTTTACTATATCAGACACATTGAGCAAAATTTCATGCGTGAGTTCAGAAACAAAGCACTACGGAAAACAGTTGTCAACATGGGTATGTCTACATCTTCATAAGTTTTACTGATCATTTTTTGATCATTTTGTTTTACTGATCATTTTGTTTTAATATTTTCATCTACAGGATATGCACTAACAGAGACAACATTTAACTACTACAGGGGCGAATTACGAAGAACAGATAGAACAACTTTGGAGTGGATAGACAATATTCTCATAGAGAAGTGGTCGAGGGCGTTCGACGGAGGACAACGGTGGGGACACATGACCACAAATTTGGTCGTGGCTATGAACTCGGTACTTAAGGCTACCCGAAACCTTCCTATTACAGCATTGGTCAAGTCAATGTACTATCGTCTGGGATCGCTGTTTGGAAAACGAGGACACGATTGGACAAAACTGTTGGCATCCGGTCAAACTTTCACGAAAAACTATAACAAGGGAATGGCCGACGAGGCGATTAAATCTAGCAGCCATAATGTCATTCAATTTGATCGCGAGAGATTTTGTTTTATGGTTGCCGAAAACATTAATCAACGCGATGGCCGAGCATTAAGTACTTTTAGCGTTGATCTTAGGAGAGGGTGGTGCGATTGTGGGAGGTTTCAGGCATTTCATTTACCTTGCTCTCATGTAATCGCAGCATGTGCCAGTATACGACAGGACCATAACATGCACATACCAGATGTTTTCAAGGTTCTAAGTGTATTCAAAGTATACAGCCAAAGCTTCCTTGGACTACCACACCAGAAAAATTGGCCAACATATGAAGGATTCACTCTTTGCCATGACGAGACAATGCGAAGAAATATGAAAGGGCGTCCAAATAGTATAAGAATTACAACTGAAATGGACGATTTTGAGAAAGAAAAGAGAAGATGTGGAATTTGTCGAGAAATCGGTCATATGCGGGGAAAATGTCCGAACGTGGCAGGCCCATCAAATCGGCCCGTCTAAAAATGATGTGTTTTTTTCACTCTTAAATATTAATAATATTTTCTTTTTTATGATTTAATGATATGTTTTTTATATAATTATTTAGTATAACAATTAATTAGATAATGTGAAAAATATTTACTAATATTAAAAAATTATTTAAAATAATTAAATTATTTATTTATTAATTTAAAATATCATTTAATTAATTTTAATATACAAAAAATATTTTAAAACATAAAATAATAAAATATAATATATAATTATTTCTGAAATTAAAAAAAAAACAAAAAAAAAACCAGCTAGTGTAGGGTCGGCCAATGGATGGCCGAACCCATGCTGGACGAAAAAGGCTTTCATAGGGTCGTCCTTCCAATGGACGAACCCTTACTAAAAGTGTGGCAATTTTGTATTTTTTTTTCAATTTGTGGCATTTTGGTGTTCAATTTTTCAGGTTGTGGCAATGTGGTAAAAAAATCACAAAGGAGAATACAAAAGAGACATTGACATCTGGTGGGACCAACGTAATAAAGGAGATAAAGAGTGGTAATGTAATAATAAGGGGTGTGTTGACCAGGGGCTGAAGAATATGGGGGTCCAACTTGCAGTAGAAAACCCAATAGAAATATGCCTAGAGGTCTCGGGTTGTCCAATCCTACTAAAGTCAAACCAATTATCCAAAGGAAAGGGTATATGAAGGGGTATTTCTCAATCATACTCTGTTGCTCTTATGCCATAAGAAAATAAGACCAACAAGAATGTCCCTCATCAAACTATATGGTCATTGGATCAATTAGATAGCATATCAAATACACAATTCTCAGGTGGATCGGTACTATGTGGAGGATAAATCAATGATTCAGATGTACAATAAGGTAACAGATGGTTTTTGGGTCAGATGGATAAAGATGTAGCAGGCAGGGTTTGGGAGAGAATTAAACATATGGGAATAATAGGGAAGGAGAAAGATGATGTGTATGAAGAAATCACTAGAGGAATAGAGATCAGAGATGTCAAGGAGAAGTCAGTTAAGAAGGTGAAATCAGTTAAATCACTATGAATATAGTGTTGTATAACATAAGAGGATGTGGTAGCTTAGTTAAGTAAAGAAGAATCAATAGGCTACTTGATAAAGGCAAGGAAAAAGTTTGCTTCCTGAAAGAATAAAAAATACAAAACTTGAATGACAAAGAGGTAAAGAAGCTTTGGAAGAATGAAGAGATTGAATGGACTGGCAAGAAATCTGAAGGATTCTCTGGAGGAATGATAATAATGTGGAAAGCTGGCTCGATAAACTTGGAATTCAGCTTCAAAGGGAAAAGGTTTGTTGGAATCTGCGCAAGGTGGGAAGGTAACCTCTGTTACTTTATAAATGTATACTCCTCTTGTATCCTTGGTAGGAAAGAGCTTTGTGGTCGTGTTTTGTGTACTATAAATCAAAATTAAGGGCAGGGGCTTGGATTGTTGGGGGGATTTTAATTGTTTTAAATGTCTTTCTAAAAGGCAAGGGAGGGGTTCTAATAGAAATGAGGTAGAACTCTTAGAATTCAATGAGTTTATAGATAATATGGAATTGGTACATGTACTTTTTTTAGGTAACCCTTTTAAATGGTCGAATGCTGATGGTAGTTGTAGGAGTAGACTAGATAGATTTCGGCTATTTGAAAATCTTGTGGATGGGCGGAGGGTGAGTATGCATGAAGTTGGGGACAAAGACATATTTGATCATAGTCCATTGTGGATTAAATTTAACAACCTAGATTAGGGGTCTAAACCGTTTAAAGTTCTCAACTGTTGGTTTGAAAATACCAAATTCATGGGATTTGTAAAGAGGGAATGTGAGTCATTTGAGGTGTATGGGAGTAAAGCGTATGTGCTTAAAGAAAAGTTAAAAATATTGAGGGAGAGGCTTAGGTGGTCGAATATAGGTCTTTGGGTTGGTTGACTTAAAGGTGGATGAAGAAGTTAATAATTTAAGACTGTTGAATAATCAAGATACATTAGGTAATAATAACAATGTAGAGAATTGGAGGGAAAAAGAAGGTTAGTTGTGAAGGATGTAAGGGATAAAATTCACTTTAAGGAGAGTATAATAAAACAAAAATCAAGACAGAAGTGGATTATAGATGGGGATCTGAATGCCAAGTATTTTCAGTCAATTGTAAATGAAAGATTGAGGAGAAATGCTTTGTTGTCAATAACAACATTAGAAGGGGCGAGGGTCTGGAAGTGGTGGAAGGAGCAATCATGAAATTATTTGAATCAAAGTTTGAGAAAGATACACTGTTGAGACTATTAATAGAAGGGGTTCACTTCAAAATACTCCCTAATAAAGATATAGAAGAACTGGAAGTAGAATTCACAAGGGAAGAAATCAAACAGGCTGTGTGGGATAACGATGGTGACAAGAGCCCAGGGCCAGATGGATTTAACTTTGCGTTTCTTAGAAGGTGCTGAAAGATAGTGGAAGAAGATGTGGATGAATTTTGTGAAGGAGTTTTATGGATGTGGCAAACTACCTAAGGCTATGACAACTTCCTTTTTAACTCTGATTCCAAAGATTATGAGCCCTCAGGGTTTGGTAGATTATAATTCAAAATTCATAGATAATGTATTTTCGTTGCAAATTCTACAACAAATTTCGTAGGTAAAAATCAAACATTATATAAACATAAAATTTGAAGTTAGGGTAAAAATGCCTAAAATTTCACACCTATCTTTTAAAAAAAACATAAAATACATTTTATCCAAAATCCATAGAATATTCCGCAGGTAAAGTATTTCTGCAATAAATTTCACAAATAAAAATTTTAACACCAAAAATATTATAAAAAATTATTTTCGACCTGATTTTTTTTAAATATCTGGCACCCAACATATATTACCGAATAGTAAATTATTTTATAAAATTATCACCTATTAAAAATAATATAAAGATAAATTAAAAAAATTAAACAACATTACAATAATTTGATATATACCAGAAAGAAGAAATATATATCAAATTATTCTAACTTAATTAAAAACAAAATCAGTATTGGCTTAAAGAGACAACTTTTGCCTTATCAAATACTCCTACATTGCTACCACCTACCACTAAGTTAAGTCACCGTAAAGTTCTTTTTGCCTACATTTCCTCCGATTGGAAATAACATTGCAACTCTACTTAATTAAAATTGAGATTTCCAAAAAGATAATAATAAATTAGTAAAGTAAAAAAAAAAAGGGAGAATAAATTAAAGGAAACCTTTTCGGCTCCCAATCAAATAACGAAGTGTTTTTTAAAATACTAGTATTCAATGAATGAGCATATTAAACATAAAACTCACAAATTAACTCATCTTCCAATTCCCAAACATTTTATGGGAAAATTCAACGTGTCTATATTTATTCTCACAATTAGTGATGTTTTAATCATTAGATCAGGAGGAACTTGAGTAGCAAAAATGGAAAAGAAAAGTATAATGCATTATAACAGCTCTCATAAAATTTTGCTAGTGGGAGAGGGAGATTTCTCATTCTCACTTTGCTTGGCAAGGGCATTTGGCTCAGCTGTTAACATGGTTGCTACATCTATGAATGATAGAGGTATTAATATATATATTTTTTATATGATTACCATTAAAATAATGTTTATAACTATGCTAACTAAAATTATTTTGTTCATATTTTGAAGCATTTCTAGCAAGGAAATACACAAGTGCAATGACAAACTTGAGAGAACTTAAGAGACTTGGTTGCACCATCCTGTATGAAGTGGATGTTCATGACATGAATCAACATCCTTGTCTAAAGCTTCACAAAAATTTTGATCGAATAATCTTTAATTTTCCTCACTGTGGCATCTTTCGACGTGAAACTGAATACTGGGTGATTCTGTAAGTATCTCTTATAAAACATTGAAAAAAATACGTAAATTTATTTTAAAAAATTCAATGAAAAATTGCTATAAGGCACCTAATTAAGTTTTGTTCTTTTATTAAATACAGGCAACACCAAAAATTGGTGAGGAAGTTCTTAAAAAATGCTAAGAACATGCTTAGTATCTTAGGTGAGATTCATATTACTCACAAAACAACATATCCATATAGTTGTTGGAATATCAATAATCTGGCAGAAAAATGTGGATTGTCATTTATTGAAGAGGTGGAGTTTCATCAATATTGTTACCCAGGTTATGAAAATAAGAGAGGTGCTGGCTCCAAATGTTACCAGAGTTTCCCTATTGGAGAGTCTAGTACTTTCAAATTTAAGTTTGAGTTTGAGAATAAGTTTCGAGATATTTTAATGTTTTGATAGAGTGAAAGTTGCAAAGAATTTGGTACTATGAAACTAGACCATGTATAATTAAGGAGTGACTCCAAGATGCATGTTATTGCAGTTAATTAATATTGTTGCTTTTAATGTTTTTCAATTTTTATTTGGGTTAGTGTTTTGGGTTTAGTTAGTGTTTTCACAATTTAACTCCTAAGATTCAATCATCTCTCCATTTCACCACGGTTGTTAACAATTGTTGCAGTTGTATTTTCATCAAAGTTTTTAACAAGAGAAAATTTGAAATTGATATAAACAAGATATTAATCGAAATGAATTCATTACAAATTGCTTTAAAATTCAATTTCACTAAAAATTAATTATAAACAAGATCATACTACAAGAAAAAATCATTTCATAAATGTGGATCATTTAACTCTCGTGTCTCTTTTTGTCAATAACTATGGTAGAAATTAGTTGTTATTGTTTTTATAGAAGATGGACTAATATTTATAGAAAACTTGTGAGTCAAGATGTCTTGATTCATTGTGAGATAACTTATCTATGTTTGATACTGATGTACGCTACCTTATCTGTTTGAATCGCTTTAGCATTTTATTTTATTATCTGTTTCTATTTTAGTTTTTTTTAGAAATATTGAACAATTGTGTTTGAAAATAATATTTTAAATCAAACTAGATTGAAGAAGATTTTATTAAATCATATATTTGAAAAAGATTTTATTTGATATGATTTAATTATAAAAGATTTGGATTTTGTTTTATTGAACAAGATTTTGATGATTTCAGATTCAACTGGTTTTCATCAAATTTGACTAGACGTTTTTGTTGGATCTCTTTTGCTATTTAAGAAGATGGTTCTTCTTGTTTAAAAATTCACATGTGCTTTGAATAATGTTAATTAATGGTAAATGGATAATGATGCAATCTCTAAGTGCACGACAATGCGAAATGGTACAAAACATATCAAACTGTTGGGAGATATTATTTGATTACCGATTTTTACTCTAACGGTGTAAAGTTAAGGCGATCAAAATATTGAGAATTCAGTGTTGATGAATAAAATTAATAGAATTAAAAGATAGGACATGTGGTACATGATTATCTATCCTGACGTACTCAGTTGACCCTCTGAATCGAATATGAGAAAAACAGATTGAGTTATAGCAAATAGATAAAATTGTACAACACTTACTTTTGTAAGTGCTTTTGGATTTTGAGTGTTATCAAAACTAAAAAAGTACAGTGTTATGTATATTGGATGGTATCTTCCCATTCTAGATGAACATCTTAGTATTAGGAAGTATTCAAGTGAGTTGAAAAAGGAGCTTACATCAAAATTGCATTGAAAAATATATTTTTGAGTTGCCAAGTCATTTCAGATCGGCGCATGCACAAACAAGCCGACCTATAGGAGTTTCACAATCAGTATAGGTTGGCAAATGGAATTTTAGGTCGGCTCCAAGGTTGTAGCCTCTGTCCATAGAACACATCACTTAGGTCGGCACATAGGCGACACATAACCTTCACAAGTCAATCTGTGACCTTCATAGGCTGGCCTGATTACCTTGATAGGCTAATATATTGCTTTGATAGGCCAACCTATTGCTTTGATAGACCAACACATACAATTTTCCGCCTTAAAAATATCATCTTTGCTCCAACAATTTGCATTCCTATTGCTCATTAATTCCCATATATATATATATATATATATATATATATATATATATATATATATATATATATATATATATATATATATATATATATATATATATATATATATATATATATATATATATATATATATATATATATATATATATATATATATATATATATATATATATATATATATATATATATATATATATATATATATATATATATATATATATATATATATATATATATATATATATATATATATATATATATATATATATATATATATATATATATATATATATATATATATATATATATATATATATATATATATATATATATATATATATATATATATATATATATATATATATATATATATATATATATATATATATATATATATATATATATATATATATATATATATATTGTTCCGGTGTGGGCCTCACCTCGGCAGGCTCAATACCAAATACGGCCCAACAGGCGAACTGGGCACACCTGGCACACGCCCCTTCGGACGAGCAGGACCGTCCGCCGGGCACAAGCCATCACGCCGCATCCCCTTCGTCGCCCGTCACACCAGACGAGCGAGACTACCCGGGCTCCCTCCGCGGGAGAATAACGTGCTCGGCGCACGTTCTCCACGTGCTCCCCTCCGCGGGGACACGTCATCGGCCAACCGCCCACCTCCGAAAGAGCAGGTCAAACCCACTTTCCGGAGACCTAGGAGCGGTTGAACTAGGGCGAAGACCACGTCCTGGTCTTCACTACGCCACGTAAGCCCTAGCAGTCATTGGGGTTGGGCCTGGTCGTCTGGCCCACCTCGAATGACCGTTGGCCCAGCGCTGGGGTCTCTCTATAAATACCCTCTTCTTCAAGAGGGTCAGGTAACTCTTCTTGCCCCCCTTTTCTGTACTATTGCTTCCTCTCTGTCCAACTTCTTACTTGGGCGTCGGAGTGCTTTGCAGGTACACCCCTTCCTCGTTCTTACCTCGGCGAACAGATAACCGTCCGGCGAAGCGTGGCCAGTCCGTGATCCCTCCTGATCAGGTCAGATCAGTGGCGCCGTCTGTGGGAACGGAAACTTCCCCGTTACTCCGAGCAGAAAAACCAAAAGTTTCACCAAACCTCCACGGTTATGGCCAGCCCACGCCGCGACGACACTCCGCTCGATCTCGCGCTCAACACTGCCACCAACGGGAAGCAGGTAGGAACGGCGCGCCTGAATGAAGCCGACGAAAGAGACGGGCAAACCGCCTCGCCATCGTCCGAGGAAAGGCCCCTGCACGCCGACCATCGCCCCCCGAGCCCGCCGGCATTCCACCCTGTTCCCATCCCGGCGGGAGCGGACCCCACGGTGGCCGCCCTCTTTGCAGCCATCAACCAGACGAACCAGCTGCTGTCCCAACAGAACGCTAGAATTGGAGCGTTGGAACGCGGCGGCTCCCCGAGGTACCCCCAGCGGGAAGACCAGAACGGAGGTTCGAGGAGCCCCTCACCTCGACCCAGGAACCGCCGACCGCGGTTGGAGAGACGCCGCCCCCAAGCGACACGGGAACGCACCAGATCCCCGGCAAGACACGGTCGCGGGAGGAACCAGAACGCCGCGGCGACCCCAACCGAGGAAACCCGAGGCGGGAGCACAGGCCTGAGATCGAGGGCCCGAAACCCGGGACACACCGCGACCGGCTCATCCCCCCTGAGATCCCCGGCGCACAGCGACGAGGATGACTACCGCACCCCACTATCCCGGGAGATCATGGCGGCCCCTATACCCCAAGGAATGGAGAAGCCACCGACGCTGTCAACGTACGACGGCACCTCCGACCCGGACGATCATCTGGAAGACATCGAGGCCATGCTCGACTACCGCAATGTCCGGGGAGCTATCAAATGCAGACTCTTCCCGACGACTCTGAGGAAAGGCGCTATGACCTGGTACAAAAGCCTGGAGCCCGAATCAGTTACATCGTGGAGGGTCTTGAAGGACCTATTCTCCAAACACTTCACAGCGTCCCGGCGTCACCCGAAGACGGAAGCAGTCCTCGGGGCGATCATCCAAGGCCCCGACGAACCCCTCCGGAAATACATCGAAAGATTTACTCGGGAAGCCGTACAGGTGACGACTTCCGACGAAATGAAACGCTACTTAATGGAGCAAGGCCTGCGCCATGACTCCAAATTCTACGAGGCCGTGGGCATACACCGGCCCACGTCCCTCCAAGACTTCCTCGACAGGGCCGCCCACTACATCCGGTTCGAGGAAACACAAGCGGCCAACTCCGCCCGCGACACCCGAGACAGAGAAGCCCCCCGCGGGCACCGAGACGACGGAGCTTCGAGCCACCGGCGAGGAGGGGACCGCCGTCGGGACGACCGCCACCGCGAACCCCGCGAACAGCGCGAGTCGCGCGGCCCGGCAGGAAGGTTCACCGAGTACACCGCCTTGGTCGCTTCCCGCGAACGCATACTGGCCGAATGCGCTAAAACCGAGTTTGTGCAGGGAGGTGTCCGTTTTCCACGACCAACGCCGCCCAAACCCAACGTGGACAAGTCAAAGTACTGCCGGTTCCACAGGACCCACGGGCATGTAACGGAAGACTGCATCCATCTCAAAGATGCGATCGAAATCCTAATCAAAGATGGGCACTTAAAGCGATACACCCGGGGAGGTGAACCACCCAGATCGGAGGCCCCGGAGGCAAAGAAAATCGAGGAGCTCCCCTGCCCAGAAGACGGTGAGAGACTCCAGGTCGCGCTGTGCGTCAGCCGCCCCGAGGACTGGTTCGCAAGCAGAGGACTCGGCATCCCCGAAGCACCCAGCTTAGTCGGCGAGCCAATCCGACCAACCAGCCGATGGGAATACTTCCCCAGAGCCATGGTCATCTCTGATGGCGCTACGAGGAGTCTGTCCATAGGATCTGTGAAAAGGAAATTCGACGAACTCATCGCGGGCAACTCCGGTAAGATGAGCACGCTCGACAGATTCCGAGGCCGCTCCAACCCGATCACGTTCTACCTCGAGGAACTACCCGGGGGATCTCCCAATTCCAACATACCCTTGCTCATACGCGCACGTATGGCAAACTTCGACGTCAGGCGCCTCCTCGTCGACGGAGGGAGCTCGGTTGACATAATGTACTCACATTTGTTCACGACTCTCCAGCTCAGCGAGTCCAACCTCTCCCCCTACGTAGGCTCCGACCTCCAGGGGTTCAACGGGACGACGACAAGACCCTGGGGATACGTGGAACTGAAAGTCACCTTTGGGGAAGAGGAAACGGCCAGAGACATCAGCATCCGCTTCTTAGTCATCGAATGCCCGTCCCTGTATAACTGCATCCTGGG